GCAGCAGAGGGCGGCTGGTGGAGGCCATGGCGGCGCTGAGCATCGGCGATGCGGCCAGGCGGTCTCCTCGCCGCTTCGGACGCGAGGTGAGGTGGAGGGAAAGCGCGTTCCGCAGCGTGTGCGTTTTCCATTCCAAGGTAACACCAGCATAAATGATCGATAAACGAGGGCTTTCAAGCAGAGGTTGTTTTAGTGCGACGTTCTTCTCACCCAGTAGATTAGCAGTGTAGACTCTTGTACAATGGTACCCGTTTGTGAGGATGATGCTACCAACAATCTGCAGTTTCTATGGATTCTTCCTCCACTCAAAATGTCAGTTGGTCGGCCCTTGCACACGACTGCGGATATTTTATTTTTGTAATTTTCCTACAATAAAATAATTAGTCCAGCGGAAATTGCGTCACTTTTTGAGCGTTTAGAAAAAAAATCGATCGTCATTCATATATTTGATTAAAGAAATAGGGCTCGCTTTAGAATCTAGTGTGAAACCTTTACTGCCGTTAAAATGGGATTGCTCGCGTTATGCTAGGTCGTAGTTGTTTTCTCCTAGTAGTAATAAAGTATGCTGCGGGTGGCCGTCCGTTACTCGCGGCTAGTCCTCTTCCTATTCCCTACTCCGGGTAAGAGATGTCATTCCTGAGGATGAGGGTGAAGACATACAGGATGTCCCAACAACTATGGACCATCTCCGTAACTTCTAAACGGTTCACGATGTCAAAATGAAGTTTTCGCTCAACAATGTCGAATAATGGGGCAAATAATAAGCGATAGAGATATTGTTGTAAATAAATTATAGTTTTCGAGAAATTCATTCATCTTGATTTTTAAACGGAACTATACTTTTTTTTTACAAGCAATAGATAAAAAAACGAATACATGATGTATCCTATGTGAATATTTTGATTGTAATTTGACAATAAAATTGTAGTTTTTTACATCCAATTTGAAATTAGACGGACAATATTTCCTGTTGCAGCCCTAGCAACTGTTGCCTTTCGGGAAGGTGCCCCCGCGGTATCGAGGCTATTAGGGGATAAGGGGAAAACAGAGGTTTGGAGGCGTAACTTCAGCAATCCTTGGTCTTATGTGAGATACAGGAACAAATATCTATATTAACGATCAAAATGAAAGATTTTTTTTCAATAATTCATTAGAATTGAACCTTTTTTATACAGGTTGAAATTCCAAATCATGGATTAAACCTCCTCCAAAAATGTCAGTCGGTTGGTCGGCCCATGCACACACGACTGCGAATATTTTATTTTTGTAAAATTACAATGAGAAGTTGTCACAGTAATTAAAATGTCAACCTAGTATCTAATATGATTAATTATCTGGATATTATAATGTCAATAATAAACCACTCATTACCTTTTGTTGTATTTAAAATGTTTCAAAATGCAATCTTGTTCGTACAACATTGATTATGATTCTTGTAAAATCTGAAAATGACTTGTTACATTCTTCCTTATATTGCCGATTTCTTTAAGTCGTTCATTTCCACGATGGATACTTGTTGATTCAACCACTGGAAGAAAATTTCATTTCCGGTGAATCAATGAAAAGATATTTCATTCTGATTGATAATATCGCTGTTCGTCCTTGTGTCCTCCGCGGGTTGTTGAATTGCGCCGCCACACCTCACCCTCGCAGAGTGCTCTCTCCATGTAACAGTCTCGGTGCCGCGAAGGCGAGAGGAAATATTGTCGGTTACGTTTTAAATATGTCAGAAAGTATAATTTTCCAGTAGTAGTACTACCAAAACGTTACCAAAAAATACATGTTTGAAGTCTTTTTATGATATATTAATTGCTAGTAAGAAATAGTAATTTATGCACCAAGGGCGTTATAATGCTTTTAATGACAGAGCGGTGACAAAATTCCCGAAGACTTTTTGGCGTCCGAGGTCACTAGCACCAGTTAACGCTTGTGGTACATCATTTTAATTTTTACCTACTTCAAAAATTCAGATTTACTTATTTACTAATTATCTAGATGTTCGCTTGACTCGGTTTGCCTTTTTATATTTCCCGCCCATAATTTCCTCCATAAGAGAACATGTAGCATCATTTAACTGTTTTCATAATTCCCCCGTAACCACGATGCTTGCGATCCAGGTTAGTTACGCAGGAAATAACAAGCTATAACCGAAATATCTAGCTCCGTATCGAAAGAAATAACGATCTATAACCGATCAATAAAAAATAAAATATATAGTTACATTTAAAAAATCAAATATTAATACATTTCTCAAATACTAAACACATTTCAAACAATATATCCGTAGCTTATTACTTGCCCCATGAGTCCCTATTAAGGAGCGAAAATTGCGTTTCAATATCGTGAACCGTTTATGGGGTACGGGGTGGCTTGTAATGGTGGGACCCCCAGGATGAAGATGTGAGGATATATGAAGTGCTGGGTGAATATCGGCGTTAGGTCCTTTGCAGTAAAATGAGTTATATTAATAACAATAGTGATAATGATATAATGAATAACAATAATGTAATAACAAAAATGCGTAGTCTATTTGTATGTGCTTTGTCTAATGAAATTTTAAAAACAGGGTCAATCCAAGGAGTCGTCTAATACGTTACGGATAAATGAGGCATCCCAACATGTGCTCTCTCTCCTGCCTACCAGTAGTGGATCATCAGAAGAATTGTTTTTCTCGGCAGAGTGAGTGATATTTTATTTTTAAATATCTTTTAAAACTATGGGAGTGAAATTCAGTTCCTAAAAGATGATGGACCGAACTTTTTGACATGACCTCCTTAGTGTTTCCCTGACCTTCCATGTAGATTTTGAATATATATTTTGTTATTTAGACGGTTATTAATTAATGAGACAACTACCCTAATAAATGTATGTAAGAAAATTAAACTTTCTTTTAAAAAAAGCATCATGGAAGTGAATTTTTAGACGGGGACATTTTGAAACGGTAATATAATCAAACCAATTCAATTTTTCCAACCCGTTGTAAAAATTATTTTCATGTTTTCCAAGTTATCCCAATCATCTCTTTGGTTCAGATGGTCTGAAAATAATTTGAACTATCTTCTGTTTACATCTTTTTTTTATTTAAGAAAAGGCGAAGAAAAATGAAAACAATATATGGGCGGATACTCTGGGAAAAATTGCAAATTGACGTTTTCAATGAATTAAATAAGATATTTATTATTTTAATTAAATATAGTTTTGTTCTTAATTTGCGAGCCTTTAATTGAAAAGTTTATTATTTTGTAATAAACATGTAATGTTCATATACCACACATTTGAAGAAGTCAGAGATAGTTATAAACCACAATTGAAGGGGTGAAGGCAACGTAAACGAATAACTTTCATTTCACACGTTCGAAATTAATATCTAGATATTCCTTCAAAAACGTCCATAAGGATCCGAATGCAGTTCAAACGTGTTCATAAAATTACATTGTATAGAGGAGCAGCAGGATGAGTGTATTACGGAGAAAATTAGTTAGGTAACACGCTAGTTAGCATGCTAATGTTCACATTATACATAATAGAGGAGTAAAGTCAGAAGTAGAAGCAGCTTCGAATCATAATTACGGCTTTAACCATATGCAGTTGACGGCCAACAGGTGACTCGGGTAGGTGAACTGCATTATAGTGTCTAAGATTACCAGGTATGTCATAGAGAGGGATCAGACTGCATGATGGTGGAAAGTTTCTAACGCTAGTGAGACTAATATGTCCAGTTTCTTGTTCCACTCAATAGGCCGAAAAAATTCTATTTACACGCTACCGCCAAACACAACATCCCTGAACCTCAGTTGACGCTTCTCTGAGCATTTCCAAGCATTTGGAGACTCCGGCCTCCGGGAGATACACAAAGTATTATTCCGTCGATTCAACGCATCGTTTACAACGCGTTTTATGCCAAAATTAGTCTTACGTTCACACATGACGCCTTACACTAGGACAATTACCATACTTCGATCAGCTGCGTGTGGCTAATACCAAACTGAGCTATATGAAGTTCGAAGTGATTAGCTCGTCATTCCTACATTTTTGCGCTGTCCAACATGCGCATTTTAAGCATTAGCCGTATTTCGGACTTAAGCCGTATCATACAAATTGAAACTTGTTTGAATTAACAACTACTTTGCTTACCTCTGACGCACGCACGCGCGCACACGCACGCACGCGCGCACACATGCACACGCAATCCACACAAACCACCATTCACGCTCTCATAATACACGCAACCACACGCACACCGCATCAACGCCCTGAATACATCATGAAAACTGTACCAGACCATTGTTATATACTGTACTGCAGACATTCATTAAAGATGTTTGTTGGGATAATGATTTTTTAAATTTTATTTTAATTTGCACAGATTTGATTAGAAAATTGTGATGTTGTTCAGTTGGTAGAAAGCTTTTGATTTGTAATAGGGATGTTGTTCAAACGCATATCAAAAAGTGTATTTCAGTGCATATTTCTAATTCTTGGGAGACTATTTTATGATTTTCATTAAGTATTCATTAGCATCTCATATAATTAGCTAATTATAACTGGGATAAAAGGAACCATTCAAAACTGCCATTTAGTTTGCTGTAAGTTATGGATTGTTATAGAATGTGTTTAAAAGAATAGCATTTATTAGTAAGTTGGACGGAATATATACTGGTTTTGTTTCACACACTTGAATTTATTTGGAGATTTGATATATCTTAGCAAACTAAGTAAATGAAAAAAACAGAACCTATGGCATGTAATGGAGAATAATAGGATCTGGATTTAATTTTCAGATAATGTCTTGGTTTTCTCTTTCCTTTACAAACGACTGCCCTTGCTGTGTTTCTAAGAACGAATGTGAAGTAAATTTTGAAATTCAAAATCTTTTGTATTTCAATTTTGTTATTTTTTAGAGGTACTTATGATTGTAAAATTTTATTTTTATTAAACGTATTTAACACAGGTGAGTTCATTCCTTTGTGTTTCCTTTATTAAAACTTCGAGGATCCATTTTCCAGACGGTGTTGTTCAAATAATTAATGTACATTTATTTATTTGTTGTTCTTACATTTTTCTACATTGCAGTGGCGTGTGGTGAAGGGCACAGGTTGGGTAAACAATAAAATATATATGGCTGCCATTCATTAGTGTCAGAAAGCTGGCTCATACGTTTCTTTACACATTTTCTGCATCTGAAGTAGTTAGAATATTATTAGATGCTAAAGGTTAAAGACTTTTTATCTTTAGTACTTACTTTTATGGCTGACCAGAGTGATGCTGAATTTGGTTGTAACTGTTTGATAAATATAATAAACTGTGAGAATCTGAGTTACTATAATTTCTGTTTTGCCTCTAGCGTTAACGCATTGAAGATGCGTTTAACTATAGAGTTACGAGTTGTTTGCCATTATCTGAGAATTCTGTTTTCGACTAATTTGTTCTAAGATATCCTTTGGCAAGGAAGGTAACATGTTTCTTTTGCGTTTAATTGGTTTAATAGTCGATGAGTGAATAGCATTAATTATTTTATATTGAAGGTTAATAATTGTTAATTCTATGTCGGTTGATGTGTTTAGTTTTAAGGATATTTTGTCCAAATTAAGAATAGGCTTTGAATTTATCCCAATTAATGCACGTACACGCAAGCGCGTGCACTCGCGTACGCGCACTCACGCGGGTGCATGCACACACACGCACACACGCGCACACATGCGCACATGCACACACACGCGCACACACACGCGCACACATGCGCACATGCACACACACGCGCACACATGCGCACATGCACACACACACGCACACATGCACACACACACATGCACACACACATGCACGCACACATGCACACACACACGCACACATGCACACACACACGCACACATGCACACACACACGCAC